GCCTTGATAGAGAGAGCCTATGCTGCCTTGAACCAACGTGGGCTGTGGCCCAGACGCGTTTGAGCCGATAGAAGCAGAGCTTAAGGATTTAGGATGATTTATATAAGGGATCAGCAGGGTTGCCCTGCTGCTTTCACTTTGCATTCCCTCAAACGAGCAAGTAGAAATTGCGATGCAACTCAGCTCGTGGCCAGGTCCATTAATCTCCTGAAGATGATGGTGAATTGCCCAAGTTTAGCAAGATTCAGCTTCGAAGAATGGTAGTCCAAAGACTCAAAGATGTCCAACAATTCCAGCAGAGCTTTGACAAAGGATAAGGACTAAGGCTCAGGACTACTCAGGACTGTTCTAAATTCAGTCAATTAGACTGACTCCGCAAAAGACCGATGAAGACCGAAGACACATCTAGAGTCTAGAGTCATTTCCTCCACGGGTGATGTGGTCCAATCTGTGGAGGTGAAACGTGGTGGCGTCAACATTGACAAGTTGCACAACATCGGGAATCCATGGGAACCGCTCGGGCTACCCAGTGGACGGGTTCCTTCAAGATTGCAGATGTAAGACACGGCTTCTTGAACTCTAAGGTTGGAGAAATACGAAGGTCCTGCTCTGCTGATTCTAGCACCTGATACGCCTGAGCCGCTTGCCATGCAAGGGCTGCACATTTGTTGCATGGTCCCTTTACGGTATTTGTATGGTAGTTTAGGAAAAGCTTTCGGTTTCGATTACGAGGCGCTATTTCCTTCAGCTGCGGATTTCCTCATTGGCATGCTCAGGTTTCACAGTGCTGCTGAGATCAATGCTCAATATTGCACTCAAATGGAGGCTCTTGATACATTTGGAATTGCTGACACCGGTATTGGAGTCATCCAAGTGAATTTTGCACGGAGAATTAGATTTCACCTCACTCCTGGTTACGAGCTGAAGGGAGGTGTTGGGAGTTTAGGAATGCTCAAGAACCCTTCAAACATTGTAACATTTTGGAGGTTGGTCATTTGCAAGTGCTTTTCACCGCCACAGGTGGTCAACGGCAAAGGCAGCCACTACAACATGATGCAGGCATTAGGGTCATTGAGTCATTGGTGCCAAACTTGTACTGATGTCACGGATGACACGTGATGTGCAGGGTGCAGGTTCTAAGAGAGTCGAACGTTGGTACTGACCTGCTCAGGGCGAGCAAGCAGCGACACAGGCAGCAATCGTACTCGAGTGGGCCAAGAGGCCAGAACACCTTTGAGTGCGTGTGGTGATGCATTTGTTTGCCTTTAATGCCATCGGTCAATACCTTTTGATTTTGGTGAGAAAGAGATCAAGTGATTAAGGCAAGTTTGTCTCTACTTTTGCTCCTCCCTTCTCTTTCTGTCAACATGTATGAAACATCATGAAACTACATGGAAGTGCTATTGCTACGTGTGCCTACGTTTACATAGAGGTTGGGAGGAGTGGCCAATGAGATACTACCATCCGCAGGACGTGACATGTTTTGAATCTCTTTTCTGCCATTGACTTAAATGCCAGATTGCTTGACCGCCTAGCTGTCAATTGGCTTTGTATGGCTTCTGTCTAGTTTAATATCAACCTCAGATGGCTACAAAAGCGGACGTGTTTGTGAGCCAGGCAGCAAGAATAAATAGTTATATAATCCGGAGTCTTGAGTTCAAGATGCTTCGGATGTGGGCGCAAGGAATTGAGGCTGCAAAAAGCCAGAAGATGCTGATTATGAGGCCTTGTCCACCATGTCAGAAGTTTCAAATAAAGCACCCAATGGGGAAGATCCCCGCCTTGGGCCCGATTTTGGCATCTATTCATCCATTGAACCAAACGGAACACCTTTGAGTTTGAGAGTCTCAACTTGTGGAGCGGACTGCGGAAGAAGCGCCTCAGATCCTCCCAATATTGTCAATAACTGTGAACGCTTGGAACCCCAGACTATTCAATTTTTGCATAACGGCTCAACGTCTTCTGGAGGCCTGGCAAAGCAGAGAGCGCCAAGATCTACTTGATACATGGCCTGTGCCTCAGGATGAAATGCTCCTTCAGACACCTCAGGAGGAGTGTCTTTGATGTTGAAGAAGCAGTTGAATCTGACACTCGAAGGAATCTGTGGTCTCGTGAGGTCTTGACGGAGATGCTATGAGTGGCGGCAGCACCTTCACCAGCATTGCGCAACGCTTGGCTCCATGCAGGCGGCCAAAAAGCTATCCAATTCTCGAGCAACGAACTTGACCGTTTTACTGGTTTAATGTTGCGGCTTCAGCTGTTTGGAGAGGTTTATTGACCTTCACAAACCCTTTTCCTTTGAGCAAGGTTCATCCTATTCTAGTCATGAGAACTTTGCAGAGCTCTGAACGTTTTGGCATGTTTTTGCCGTAAATCCTTGATCGCTTCAAGACAGGGTGGGTGCGCTGGTCTACGACCAGGAGGCCTGTGGTGAATTTTTTAGGTGTGCTTCCAGAATCTTGGAGGTCCTTCTGCAAGCGATGTTGGTTTGACTGGCGCTGTGTCGAATCCAATCAGATTGACAGAGCCTTGTGAGAGATCACTATATAGGTTTGCTAGGTCAATCGAAAGGGATGAAACTGAGGTATATATGTTTAGCTACCCTTGCAGAGCAATCCTGCATGTCATGCATGTCTCTCTCTCTCTCTCTCCCAGTGTTTGCCACGAAGGCTTTGGAATGCAACTCCATTCCTGAGCTTGCAGCTTGCTACAACCGACGGGTGGGGAAGCCCTGCAGAAGTATTGCGGCGTGACCATGCTAGATGTGTTTTTTTCTTTTTTAAAGCATGTTTTTTGTGTTCAAACCTTTAGTTGGCTCTGAGCACTACCAACTTTTGTCTATTCACAAGCTTGGCCAAATTGGTAGCTCATTGCAATTCCTGTAGCTTTCAAACGTTTCAATCCATGTCGGCGCTCCCTTTGAGATGCGCAAGGTGGTTGAAGATGCCAAGAGCCACAATCCTGCCGTGAGCTCTAAAGCCACAATGAGACTCCGATAGATGCTTTTGGTTAGGTGCAAGAACATGTTGTGATCAGGCATGGGTCAGAGGTGAGATGTCAACCTGCAACAAAGCTTCTCAGAAAGAGAAACATCTTGTCAACTTATGTTTCTCTCGGTTTCATTTCTTATGTTTGCAGCAGTTGTATGAAGCTGAGGCTGGTGAAAGCCTCATCATTGTTGCAGGCGTAGTCAAGAAGAGACCACACTGTTCAGACGACCGCATAGACCACAATCTCATGGTGCCAACCAAGTCTAGTGTCAAGTTTCCAACCAAAATTGTAAGCGTTTGTTTGAGATGCCCAAAAGAACAGGTTTGCTTGATGCCGCGAGGCTACTCCCATGGTTGTGTCCTTGCTCATCAGATGGGGCATCAGCTGCACAAGGAGGGGACAAGAGAAGAAGGGTCATGTGGATGAAAGAGACAGCTCACCATTTCACCATCATCAATAGCTTGGGCTGCTTGGGTTCTTGCCTGCGAGGCTGGCATTTGGACCGCTGTGGTGATGTTCGACTTGGAAGTAATCTGGCCACCGCCTAGCAACGACTCACGCGTGGGCGGCTACGACTTCTTGGGTGGAGAGGCAGAGGCGCAACCTCTCAAGACGAAGAGAATTGTAGTGTTTGCCGTTTGCTGGCTGGCAAGCGGTCAGAAAATTTGGCAAGCTCCGGAAATGCAAAAGAGGCTTTGCAATCTTTGAGAGTAGATGAGTAGATATGCGCAGAGAAGTAAGGCGTAGGCACTATTTTTTTCGGAAAGCGTAGGGTGCATATTGTCAGGCCACCTTGCTGATTTCGCGTGCCTTCGGCAAGTTCGACTTTGCAATCAAGGAGCTGGGAGAAAGTTGGACACGAGGGTAATGATTTGCCCGCCAAGATTAAAGCCAGAGATGTCTTATGATAAGACTACACAGAGGCGGCTTGAATCAGAGTCCCGAAATGAACAGGTCCTTTGAGCAGGTTGAGGTACCACAATTTCATCAGGAGGCCATCGAACTCACAGAGATGAAAGCTCGCGGTCAAAGCTGTGGGCTAAGAATGCATGCATTTGTAAGGGCTCAGAAGCACACCACATATTCCATGCGTTTGCACAGTTGCTGAGCTGTTGGCAGTTTCAAGGCATTGATGTGGACGCCTTGATAGAGAGAGCCTATGCTGCCTTGAACCAACGTGGGCTGTGGCCCAGACGCGTTTGA